TACTATTTATGCTGCTTTTGAAATATATTTTTTTAAATAATTATTAGCAACAAGATTTATTAAAATAGCCAAAATTTAAAAAATTTTACGAATAATTAGAGCTTTTAGAACATTTAAATTAATGAATTTTTTATTAAAAGGAGTAGAATTAGTTACAAAAGTATAAGAAATGTTTTAAAAAATTATAATATGCGTACCAATTGTCATTAAATTATCAGTTATAATAGTTATTATATTTTATATTTATTCTGCTATAGGAGTTGAATTATTTACTACTTTAAAACCTATTGAATATAATAAAACAGGTTTATATGGATTTTCTATGTGTTCAACAAAATATGTTTAAAAAAATAAAATTAAAGATTCTACATAATGCAAGTAAAAAATAAATATATAATATAATATATATATATATATATATATATTTATATATACATATATTTATTTTTTTTATATTTAGTTATGCTGATTTTAATAGTTTTTTAGGATCAATGCTTGTTTTACTTTAGGTTTGTACTGCTGCTGGTTGGAGTAATATCGTATTCGATTATGGTTATAAATTCGATAGTTTATTAAATAGTATTTTATTTTTCAATTCTTTTCATTTCATAGCTGTTTTTATGCTGTCTCTTATCGGAGGTATTATTTGGGAAGTTTTTACTGTAGTTGAAAAAATAATGGAAGATATTCAAGCTGTTGAGGAGTAGTAAGAACTTTTAAATTCTATTGAATAATAATAATAATTATTATAAAGTATAAATTTCGAGACTAATTAAAATAAGTATATCGATATTGTTTATACTATAGCATTTTTGGAGAAAAAGAACTATAATTATTTGAGAAGATTTTCGATTTAAAAAAAAGGAGAAGATGATGATAGTGAGGAGAGTGATGAAAGTGAAGAAAGTAAAGAAAGTAAAGAAATAATTAAAGAAGAAAAATAAAAATGCAATTAAAAAAATATAAAATAAGACAATTTAAATAAATATAAATAATCTTTAGCACATATCCCTGAATAAAATATTGAAAATAAAAATAATAATAGAGTTAAAAGTTAAATGTGTATAAATAATTTTAATAATTTTTAAAGGTAAAGAACAACTACAATTTAAATACCATTTAGGAATAGAACGAGAATTTAAACTTCAATAATAATAAACAATGTTAAGTAAATTAAAAAAAATACAAATTAATAAAGGTCGAGTTAATAAAAAATTAAATATATACTCAAAGCTATTAAAAAAAATGAACTTACTGATGATTTAAAACTTAGTAATAGATAAAAAGCTTAATATATTTTAAATAAAGATAAAATATTTCTATCTTATGAAAATAATTACTTTTAATAAGCAACTAAGGAAACTAAATAAGAAATTTAAATAAATTAGACTAATAAAAGTAAATAAACAATAGTTAATTATATAACTAATGATACTAATAATAATTAAGATATAAAAAATTAATAGAATAATAATATATTTAATACTTAGTTATAAATTGATACTAAAAATTGTATAACTATTTAATTAATTAATTTAGATAAAATGACTTAAAATAAAAATAATTAAAACAATTAAAATTAATGTGAAACACCTAAAGATCTGTAATTAAATATGAATCATAATAATGTAAACTCAGAATTGAATTTTTTTAATAAAAAGAATAAAAATCTACCATTTAAAAGTTCTACTTAAATTACAAAAAATAAAATTATTATTAGAAGTAATAATAAATTTAATTATTATATTTAAAAATGGAAAAATAAATTATATAGCGAAAATCTTAATTAAAATGATAATTAAAAAAATTTAGATTTATAAAGAAAAAAAAGTGAAAGTGAAAATAATATTATATGTATAGAAAATATTGAAAGTGATTAAATTTAAAGTAATGATGAAGAAGAAAGTATTATTATTAAAGGTACTAGTGTTTATGAAATTAATAATTAAAATGAAAATACATTAAATTAATAATAAATAGAAGAATAAAAATAACAATAATAATAATAATTATAATTATAATAAGTAAAAATTTATATATATATATATATAAATTTATAAGTAAATTTAATTAAATAATTAAGCAACTAGATGAGCAGTAATAAAATAAAATATAATTATAGAAAATGTAAATGAAGGATTTTTATAAATAAAACTTAAAATTATTATAAGAAACAGATTAAGAATAATAACCATCCATTAATAATTAATTTAAATAATTAAAACTAATATTAGATATTCCTTAAAATAAATATCTAATAGACTAATATGATAAAGTCAGATAAGATCTCAAATAAGTCCAATAATAAAACGAAAAAGTTAATTTAGATAATACAAATTAAATACTAAATCTATCTATTTTATAATCAGCTGATTTATAAAAAATAAAAAATATGGAATATAGATATTTTAAAAATATGTACGGATAATAATATGATTAAATGAGTGATGTTAATTTAAAACTATTATGGAATAAATAAGCTAAAATATTATTTCATTTTAATAATATATGCAAGTAAAACAAATTTATGTTTAATATAATTAAATATAAAAATGTATATATAAATATTAATATTAAAACTTATAAATATATATATATATATATATATATATATTTATATAATTATTCTTTACAATATTTTAGATATGATTATATTCCTTTATTTCAATTTTTTTAATTATATTTAACTTTAGAAATGCAAATATCTTCTTTAATGATCAATAGATATAGTTCTTTTAAATTCATATATAAAGACGAAGAATAAAACTGTTGGTTTACTGTAAATTTTTTAAATGATGAATATATATTATAGAAAATAGAAGACGGTCCATGGGAATTTTTCGATGATTTATTTTAGTAAAATATAGACGAAATAGTTAAACATTAAAATATTTATTCTTTTAGGCGTGAGAATGATGATTTTATAGAAAAAAATATGAAATTATTGTTTAAAAATTGTTAGGGATTTTCTAATAATTATTTTTTTAATTAACTTTTACCAGGTAAAAATCCATGTGAAATTATCTATATACCATTTTTGAATGATTATCCGGAAAAAACTAAAGATTAATAAATTCAAATCATGAAAAATTAAGAATTGCCAGAATATATTAATGAAGATAATTTATAAGAAATAATTTAATTAAAAAAAGGAATGGCAGTTATTCATATTTTTAATAATGAAAATAACTTCGAATAGTTTAACTCATCATAATTCAATGCCTTTGATATTAATTAAGCGGTCCTTGAAGATAAAATATTTAAATAATAACAAGATAATGCCACTTTGGACTATGTAAATACTTTAGAATTTATAAAAGACATTAAAAAATAAATCAAGATTAATAAAGATTCTTTATTTAAAAAATAAGTTAATTCTATATTCATTAGAAATGCTTTGAAAAATACCAATAATAATAATAATAATAAGAATGAAAAATCAAAAAAAAATATATATTAATGAATATATATATATATATATATATATATTTATATATTTAATATAAATAATAAAATTGAGTATCTTTTTTTAAATAATATAATTTTTTTAATGATAAATATATTTATATATTGTATATTTATAAATATAAAAAATAAAACAGAAAATAGAAAAATTAATACAATGATTTTTTTTTTTCTGCTTTTTTCAAGCACTTAATAATAATTTTTATATGATTTAAGTTTTTGGTTATTTTACTATTCTTCCCATTCTTTCTTTATATACGTCTAAGAAAAATTAATAATCAATAACTCCGTTTTTTCTGCAAATTTAATTAATTTGCAATAACAAAAATCATCGATAACAATACCTATACTTCTTAATAATTCCCCAATTATACTTTTTACCATATCATATGTAATAGCTTACTATTTCTTCTCTATTTAAGTAAATATATTTGTTAAATATTTTCTATTTCGACCTATAATAGTCATTATATCATCGTATTCTTTAGAAGTTTCCAATTATTTTAAAGGTGTTTTACAATCCATTTTTTTGTTCATATTGAGAGGGCTTTTTATTTTTAATAAGTCCAATCTTTAGTTTAATAAGTCATAAACCATTAAAGATTTTTGATATGAATTCATCTTTATTTACTTTTCTTATTATTCTTTTACTTCTTTTGAGTTTATTTACAATAGATTATTGTATAAACTGGAATCAGGAGGCTTAAATTATGAAAAAGTCTATAACCATTCATTTATATCGATTAGATTATCCTTTCTAACATCAATAATATCAAATAAATCTCTCAAAATTTCGAAAGGGGGTAATGGATAATTACCATATTAAGTTAATTTTTGCATAAAAGTATAAAATTCCTCAAATTTCATATAGCCAGTATTACTTATATTAAAATGACGAAAAGCATCTTTTGGAGATAGCATATAATAATGTATATCATCATTAATTAATTTTAATCTTTACTTACACCTTTCTAATATTCTTTATTAACATTCGCTATATATATACAGATAAATAATAATAAATGATGAAATATAATATAATAAATAAATATTTAATATATATATATATATTAATATTATTAAATGTATATATATTTTAATATATTAATGAATATGTATATTTATACATATTTTTTTATATATATATAATATTAATTTATTTTTCTTATTTAATTTTTATATTTTTTACTTTTTATTAAATTTTTTTAAAAATTCTTTCCAATTTACTATACCTTCGCCTGATTCATCACAAAAATTTAATAAAACATCGATTTCCTTTGATGTTAGTCCTATAGATAAATTTCTAAAAGCAGATTTAAATTCTAAGTTGGAAATATTTCCAGAATTATCTTTGTCAAATTCTTTAAATATTTCATCTATATTTTTATTACTAGTTCTTAATATTTATTATACTTTGGCAACTATTTCTTCAGTAATAGGATCAAAAGATGCGTATTTTAATTTTTTTTAAATTCCTCCTAATTAAAAAGTCTTAGGGTGTTCTTATTATTATAAAGCACTTCTTTTATCACCAAAAATATATAAGAAATTTTAAAAATCTATAGTCTTATTATTATTATCAGCTAATTTAAACCATAAAGTATTAATATCATTATTATTAAATCTATCAAGAAACAAATTTTTAATTCCATTTTCAAATTAAGAAAATGTTATGAATTTCTAATAATTTTAAAGATTAAATATTATATATAAGAATTTTTATAAATACTTATTTATTTGAAAAAAAATTAAAGGCCTCCTACATTGTACTAAAAGAACTATTTACAGTTTCCTAAACTTCTTTAATCATTTAAATTTAGAAATTAAATACACCTATAAAAATAAAAGCATTAATAGAAATATATATATATATTTATAAATATATATTTATATATTATATATATATATTATATAATTATATATATATACTAAAATTCTATATCCAATCTTTTTTTGTTAAATATCCCTTCTTATGGGGATCTAGATCTGAAAATACTTACTAAATAAGTTAATTATTAAGATTAAATCCTTATAAAGCTCTACTTTTTTCCACCCATTATTCAAATTATGAATAAATAATTCTATTCTTATAATTAGAAATTTATTCAAAGCTTTATTCCAAATTTTAATACTATCTTGAAAGCACTAACCCAATTTATTATTTAGCGTTTATTTTCCAGTCTAAAGAATCCCTTCCTTCTATAAATTTACCTCCTGTAACCACAAAATTCTACTTTTCCTCACTTAATAATCTATTTAAATCTGCCATTTTTATAGCTCCTCGTTTAAATTCATCCATTAATTTAAAAATACGGTTAATTCTTTATGGTTCTATTTCTTTATCAGATAATTTTAATACTTATAATAGAAAATTTTCTATGTCTTTCTTATTAATATATCCATCAAAATCTTAGTCAAATACCCTAAATGCATCTTATATACTTAAACCTTCATTTTTATACCATTATTTAATCTAATATATATAAATGTATGATAAATATTATATATATATATAAATATATGTATATATATTTATATTTATTTACTTTATTTAAAACATCATTAGTCCATTACCAATCATCTTCTCTTTACATTGTTTTGCAATTAGAAACTCTTTATTCTTATTTTTATTAAAGATCATAAGTAGTCATATTCATTGTATCAATAAAAGTCTTATAATCAATCATTCCTATTTTCTATTTATCCATAAAAGCAAATAAACCATCTTTTTTTTCTTTATTTAATTTAATTATTTAGCCTATATTTTTCTAGAAATCATTAATGGTTATAAAATCATCATTATTATCATCAAGAAGTTTAAAGAAATTAAAAAAACTCATTTTTTTTAAGTACAAAATCTACCTTATTTCCCTTAAAATTTCTTCAATTTAATTTCCACTTAAAGTTTTTTGTGGATATAATTTACTTTCAAAAAAAGTATTTTTTTTCCTTTTTTTTATGTAAAATTATTATCCTATAAATACTCTAATCTTGTCAAAAAAGTCTCCAAGTCTTCTAAAGATATCACTCCGTCATTATCTATATCTATGATTTCCACAAAAGACTAGATACTACTTTCTTAGTATTCTTAAAAGGCATTTTTTTATAAATAAATAACAAAATCTGCTACTTTTACCTCACTTTTTTTCACCCTATTTAGAATTTCTTAAGGGTTTTATTTAAGTTTATTTTAATCTAAAAAAAAGACCATTTTTTAAACGAAATCTTCTATATTTTTAAAATTTTTCTAGTTTTCAAAATCATTATTATTTTCAAGATTTTCCAAAAAACTCATAAATTATACATAGTCAATTTCGTCTTTTTTCATTCCATAAAAAAACTACAAATTTCTCCCTAATCTCAAAATTTCATTTTTAGTAATTCCCATTTCCTCCTTTCTAAAAACTCCTTAAAATTACTCAAAATCAACCTTACCTGTATTTTAACTGTCTAAATTTGAAAATTTCTCTCTAAATTCTTATTAAAAATTATTTATTCGTCCCAAAATACCTTACATCCAATTTTTGTTTAAAAAATCTTTCCCTTCTTATTACTATTAATTATTGGAATTATCTTCTCCTATTTATTCCACTATATCATCAAAATCGATAAATTCAGCCCCTTTCATCATCCCTTCGGAAATTTCGAATATTTTATTTTCAGAAATTCCCAAATCTAATCTTCTTAAAGCTTATTTTAACATTACATTGTTAATACTTTTTTGATTTTTACTAAGACCCAATTACTAGAGTAATTAATTATTATTAAAACCTTTTTTTTTTATATATTTTTTCAAAAAATCTAACTAAAAATTCCTTTAATTCTACATAACATTCATCCAATCATCCAAATCGACAAACCCATCTTTATTTTTATCCAAAATTCGATGCAATTCAGTTATTTGTAATGGATTTAAATCTAAATTTAATTTTCTAATGCCTTTAAATATATCATCATTTGTTAGTTTTATTCCTATATAATGTTTTCCTTTACAATTTTTACATAATTCAACAAAGGCCTAGATATTTTTATTAAATTTAATTTTTTTTTTAAAAAAAAATACTTCTTCAGATGAATATAAGTTTTCATTTATCCATATATTTAATAATTTTATTACATGATTATTGTCTTTATATGGATTAAAAAAGTAAATAGAATCTATATATATATATAAATATATAAATTTATAAATATATATATATATATATATATATATATAAATATTTATATTTTTTTTTAATAAAATAAAAATTATTAGAAAAATACTTTGTTTATTATGTGTTGTTTTTAAATTATCTTTATAAACTTATGTTTTATTCATATTAGATATTTAGTTTGATGATTTATACCTTAAAGTATCAAAAATAGATCTTTTATTTCTATTTTTTAATTAATCATAGTCTATGTTCATACTTTTTTTTAAATAATTCTTCGTAGATTCATCTATTTCTAAAATATCATCTGGTTTTTCATTTAGATTATCTTACATTTTCTTAAATTTACAAAATTTTTTAAATTTTCTTTTGTTAAACTCATTTCTCCTCTTTCTTCCTAATACTTAAATCTTAATATTAATTAGAAATATTTTTAGCATCCTAACTTAAAAATTCATTAAATTAAACAGCCGCAATTCCATTTCTAATTCTAAAAACGCCTACATTAGGTATTTCCATATCTACATTATTTTCCTTTATATATATGTATTAATATTATTATATATATAATATTTACATTTTTAGCTTAATCTTATAATTATTTAATAACTCTTTCTATACATGTTTTTGCTTGATCTTTTTCCATTTAAGAATATATACCAATTTCTGTAAAGTTAATTTTATTTAAAGGCATTCTGCCATTTGCTCCTTAAGCTCCATAAGGTCTTAGTATAAAATTTATATATATACCTTATTTTATGCCACCTCCTTTTAGGAAATCTTAAGATACTAAAAATACTGGGCTCCTTAATTATTTATCTCTTTCCCATGGATTACTACATCCCTTTATTTAATTTAAAATATAATATAAATATATATATATATATATATATATATATATATATATATATTATTATGTATATATTTATTACTTCTAATTTAAAATCTGGAGCTGTAAATGTAAATTATCCGAAATTTTTTATTGTTATAGATCTTCCCATTCTTAATTATCTACTTAAATACAAACCTAATTAATTATTTTGTATATATATAAAAAAATAATGTTTTTTTTTTTTTTTAAATAAATACCAAAAGCATTCCATGAAACTCTTATGTCTTCACAATTAAAAATACCTTTTAGTCTGTATATTCTATATATATTTTTTAATTTTGATATTTTAATATTTTTGATTTATAATTCTTATTTAAATAAATATTACTTTGATGTTGATTTTTATGAAACGTCTTCAATTAACCTTTATGATTTTTAAGAAACTAATGTAAAATTAGTTATTTAACTTGCTGAAAAATCTCTTTGAGTTTTATTCATATTTTTTTGTTTTGTTTTTTGTTTTGTTTTTTTTTTGTATTAAATTTATATTAATTAAAATTTTATATTTTTTTTTATTCAATTTTTTAATAAAAATAGAAATAAATTTCACAGTTTTTTTTATTTAAGGTGTAAATAATATAAACAAATAATTAATTTTTAATTTTTTTTTAAAAAAAAAACTTTATAAATTTATGAAAACTATATAAATTATTTAAAATAAAATTAATAATATTTTATTTTTATTAAATTAAAAAAATAAAATAAAAAATAATTATTTATATTATCTATAAAAATAAAAATTAAACAAAAATGTTCACTTATCATATTATTATAAATATAATAAAATAATCAGATTATTAGTTATAATAAAAAATAATTAAAAGAAAAATATCTAATATAAAATATAATGAAATATATTCAGATTGTAAATATTATTATTAATTAAAAAATATCTTAAATCTTTAAAATAATTAATAAAAAAAAAGAAAAAAAAATAACTAAATAAATTATAAAACAATAAAATTAAAAAAATTATTTTTAATAAAAAATAAATTATTATTTTAATAAAAAGTATTTTTAAAAAACATATATTTAAAAATTAAATAAATTATATATTAAAATAATAATTAAAAAATGAATATACATAATAATATAAAAATAAAAAAATAATATAATTATATATATATATAAATATTTTTAAATATATATATATATATATATATATATATTATTATTATAATTTATTTATTCCTTTACATTTATTATTAATAATTAATATATCATATAGTTAAAGAATTATTATTATATTTTTAATAAAAATTTTACTTATAAGATTAAAAAATACGCCTTAATTTATGCTAGCTATTTTCGTATTAAATGCCAATTTTTTATTAATAAAATTATCAATAATATACTATGTATTTTTTAAAAAATAATTAATTGTCAAAACAGATTATTATTATTTTTATTTTATTTTTTTACTAAAATTTTAATTTTATTTAATCTTTTTACTTTTTTCCATTTTAAGAATTTTAATATATTTTAATTTAGTCTATTATAGTTGATTTAAACAATTTTTTTTTTATTAAACAAAATTCTTATCACTGTTACATATAATTCATAAAGTGATTTTGATATAAATTTTTATTTATTAGAAGTTTTTAATAAATAATGAAAATTAAACACAATAATATAATAAAGTAAATATATATATTGGTGTAAAAAAAAAATATTATGATATGCAAATATATATATATATGTATACATTTATATATAGTTATAAGTATAATATTTTTCAACAACTTTCTTCTTCTTTTTATTCATAAAAATTATTATCTTTAAACCATCCATGATTAATTATTTCATTTATAGAAATTCTACGATCTTAATCAAAACAAATAATTTTATTTATTAAATCTTTTAATAAATTAAAATTTAATTCTTTTAAACTATAATTTCTTTAATATTAACTTAACATTTTTTTAACTTAAAAGTTACTATTCCAAAAATATTCGCAATTGTCATTAAAAAAAATTTATAAAAATCATCATTTTAACGAGCACAATCACCTTTAAAAGGAGGAATATAAAAAATACACTCAAATAAGCATATACCAAAGGCAAATACATCAATTTTACTCATATCAATATTAATATTAAAATATTTTTTTTTCTTATATTTCATTATAACACTTGAAACTTCAGGAGGCATAAAATAAAGAGGCCTTTTAACCCATTTTTCTATTAAAAAACCATCTTAAATATAAGAAGATAGCCCAAAATCTGTTAATTTATAATCATTTTTATCTTTAAAAATAATAAAATAAATTTTAGAAATTTTTAAAAAAATATATATATATCTATATAATATAAATATATATATAAATATATATATATATATATATATATATAATTTATTTTCATATAAATATTTATAAATTTTTATTAATATTTATTAATAATAATACCAAAAATTAGTATATTTTCTAATTTTATATCGTTGTGAGAAATTCCTCTATTATGTAAATAATCTAATGCTTTTGCAATATTTAAGAAAATATTTTTTATTTATTTTGGATTAATAGGCATTTTTTGTGTTTATTTTAAAAAGTTTAACAAATCACATTTAGCTAATTCCATTGTAAAACCACGGTTTTCTTTTTCGCAAAATTTAGAATCTAGATAAAGATCATCATAATAATCGAATACTTTTATAATATTAGGATGATTTAATTATTTTATTATATTATATTCGGTTTTAATTTCCTGTTCTTTTGCTTATTTATGGGATTAGTTTTGTATTTTTAGAGCCATTTAGTTATTATCTTCATAAACTAATTTAATTATTGTTGAAGAATAAGTTTAATCTATTAAAAATAAAGACATTTTTTTTATTTTTTAATTATTTTTTAAAAAAAATTTAATAGCTAATATTTTTTTATTTTTAAATAGTAAAATATAAAAATTATAAATTTGATTTATAAAAAATAATATATTTATAATTTTAAATTAAAATTATATAAGTATTTATGTGTTAATTTATATTTTTTTTGCTATAAAAATATATTTAATTAATTTAAATATAAAAAACAAATAATTATAAATATATATTAAAATATTTAAATAAAAAATTTATTATATTTAATAATATTTAAATAAAAAAAATAATTTTAATGTAATTTTTATAAATAATATATATCATTTTTTAAATGTATATATTTATATATATAAATATCAATATAAAACATTATATTTTATATTATAAATTATAAATGAATTTATCTTTTCATTTAAAATTTTTTAGATATTAAAAATAAAATAAAATGATAATATTGAATTATATAAATATTAATTAAAATATATATATATGATTAATTGATAAATAAAAAAACGAAATAATCATTAATAGTAAAAAAAAAAGAAAATATTTTAAATAATATAAATAATGTTATTTATAAATATAAAGATATAGATTTAAAAATATATAAAGATATAAATAAAAAAATATTTAAATACATATATAAATATATACATATATATATATATATATATATATATATATATATAAATATTTTTTCTATTTTTTATATTTTTTTTTATTTTTTATTAATTTTTCATTATGATTATTTTTTAAAATAAATTTATATAATAAAATACAATAATATATCTTTTCATTATTCTTATTTTTTTCTTAATTATTAAAATTATTTAAAAAAAAATTAATTTTTATATTTTTCTAAATATTATTTATATTATTTATTTAATATTTAAAGTTTAATTATAGTTTTTTCTTAATTTCTTAATATATATATTATATTCAAATATTTTTTTTAATATAAATTAATTTATATTATTTATTTTAAATTTACAAATTTTTATAATTTATATAAAAATATTTTTTTTTAATAAATTCTTTAAACTAATACTAAATAAATATTATTTAATACATACATATAATATAAATAAATAATATTAAATATACAAAAATATAATTTATAATTTTTATTTATATAATAATTTTAATTTTATTAACTTAATTCATTTTTTAATATTCAATATAATTATACATTATTAATTAAAATATTATAAATTATTTTAAATTAATTTTTTAATTTTTTTACATTTATTTATTTAAAGTAAGTAATTATTTTATAAAATAAAACTAATTTAAATTAGGATAAATAAAAAAATCATGATTATTTATATCTATATATACAAAAATTTATTTTGATATTTTTTTTTATAACTGTTTATTTTTTTATATAAAATTAATATAAACAATAATCAATTATTTTTCAAAAACACAAAAATCAAAAACATTTATAAAAATCTAACAATCAAAGTATAAAATATAAAAAAAAATGAGAAGCATAAAATCTGCCAATTCATTAGTTTCATAAAAAAGTCAAAAACTACTAAATAATTTAGTATAAAAAGGATAAACAAAGTATAATAAAATATAATATTAATATATATATTTTACATATTCAAATATATAAAAATAAATACATACATTTATATATATAAATTATACATTTATATATATTTATATACATATATATATATAGCTATCCTTTATAATAAGGAATATAACTCGATGAGGATGTCTTATAAAAAACATGGTAATCATTCGGTCTGTATATATCGCGTTAAATGAGGATGGGTCGAGGTATATAAATTCCACATTTTGGTATATTTACATTTAGTGCACCTGATTGTAATTTAAATGTAAATATAAAAAATATTAATATTTAAAAATATATATAAATATGTATTTTTATTTTAATATATAAAGGGTGTTACAAATCCAACAGAAAGAGATAAACAATATCGAATTCCTATATTTTTAGTATCGAAATAATTTGTAAAAGGATAATATGTTAAAACTGGAATTTTCATTGATGGACATTTACGTCCTTTTAATGTTTAAACAAATGGATTAATATAAACAGCTTAAATTAATTGGACTGAAATTTCTATGTATGCTGATTAAAATAAAGAAACTGTTAAAATTGCATTTGAAAGAATAATACGTTCTTTAGCAGATTTAACAAGAAAATAGTTAAATGTAGATATGGAAATACCTGCGATTGGCGTTTTCTAAGTCCGAAATAATATAGCTGCAGTTGCCTTTTATGAAAGTCATGTTAGTACTACAAAAAAAATGCCGAATAGACCATTAAGTGAACGAAAAAAAGTTGGGGAAAGCAAACTTACGTCATAAAATTTATAAATTTTAGATAAAAAAACTACACTTGAACCTGAAGCTTATAATTATTTGAAAGAAAGTATTGGATTAAATATTGATGATTTAAAAAGTAATAAATATATGAATGCAATCAAAGATATATATATATATATATATATTATTTATAGACAAGTAAAGAAGGTAATCAAATACAATAAATAATACTTCAAAAAGACCTTTTAGTTCTATAAATTCTAGATAATCCGCAATCGTATTGAATTAACCAGAATTAAGTAATTTACAATACTCTTTAAAAAGGCTAAAATTTTGGATAAGACAAAATTGCTTTAATGCTTAAGACGTAAAAAAATAATATATGCATATATATATATGTCAATTAATGTATAAAGGCGTTTCTTGAAATATGCAATAATGCTATAGGAAGAAGTAAATACAATAAAGTTCGTATAAACTTCGATTAATTTTTAGAAACATCAAATAAAATCGACTTATAATTAAATGAAGAATAAGCCAAAGAATTATTTAATTTAATAGATTAAAATAAAGACGGTTATATAACATATTAAGATTGGAAATAAATAATAAAAGATGATAGTTAAATATATAAATATATATATACATATATTTATATATATATTTATATATATAGATTATCATCTTAATTACATATAAGATGTTATATATAAAAGATAATTACATACAGATGATGTATTAAAAACAATGGGTCTAGATAGAGAAAATCCTCCTATATCATTAATTCAATTAAAAAATTCTCTAAAAAAACTAGACTTAACATTAACTGATTAAGGTGCTTTTAAAGTTGCTAAAGGAATCTTATAAGAAAAAGACTAAATATCTATGTAAGATCTTGCCAGAATACTCGATTGTAAAGAAGAAGACGACAAAACCTTCGACCCGAGCTGGTTCAAGGACATTTTATTTAAATTAAAATAAAAGATGATTCACATGGACAACCCAAACGAGCTAAAAAATTCCTTCGAGAACTATGATGAGCACAACGAAGGAATACTAGACACTGCAAACTTCAAAACATGCCTTATGAGGAGCTAACTAAGACTTTCTGTCAAAGAAATAAACAGAATAGTGAGATATTTACCCAAAGTAAACTAGAACAACGTCGACTACTATCATTTCCTAAAGCTCGTAAAAAGGGTTGACATCTCCGCTTCTGCCCCTGACTTTGTTTCTGATACAAACGAGTTCGCCTAAAAGCTAGGAAAGTATATTTAAGATAAAAAATTTACAATCCCCTCTTTTCTGAAGACCATAAAAAGATCTTTCGAAGACTCACATGATGTCAGTTTAGTTTAAGCATCGTAGTTTCTCCACTAAAATATATTCAAAGGAAATTCCAAAGCATAAATTGAATTTTATGTAAATGAACTAGACCTAGACTGCGACGGTTTCATAAAGGAAAACGACATAGAGCTTTTTTTAAAAAGATACTATTATTTCGAACAGATTGAATTCGCCTAATCTTCCTAAACTCGCCAATACTTACAAAAAACACTTGATTTTTACGGCGAAAACACAACTATGAATACCAAAACATTATTTCCGTTAGAAAATTTAAACGAGAAAAAAGTCGATGACGTAATAAGGGATTTACGGTTTAAATTATAATTAAAAAATATGAATTATTATGAACTTTTTAATCTATTAGATTCCGATATGGACGGTTTTATTACCATAAACGAGTTTTCGAAAAACATAGATTAAATAATAAAGCTTTCCTAAGCTATAAAAGACGGTTTTTTTTCCTATATGGATAAACTGTCTATTGGAATGGTTGATTTGAACTCTTTTTTGAAAATAATGCAAAAATCCCTCATCACAAAAGACCAGTAAATAAAAGAAGACTCATTTGACTGGGAAACGAAAATGCTCTAAGAAATAAGAAACTGGTTTTAAAAATCAGGTTTAACAATAGAGGACTCTTTCCGTGTTTTAGATAGGAAATTTGAAGGCAAAATTACAATTGAGGATTTGGAAGTCTTCCTGAAAGAATGCATGAAGATAAAAAATGAAGACTTAACTCAAGGAATCCTAAATAGGCTTTTTAAACTAATGGACTAGTTTAAAAACGGCAGAATAACTCTAATGGATTGGAAAAGGTTCCTTTTGGAAGATTTTAAACACGGCATGAATTAGAGTGTTATGGGTCATAAAAAAATTGACAACTTTTCAAGTTTCGATTGGAAGTTAAATGCTAAATAATAACTAGGTTTAGTTCTTACTAGAAGGTTTAGAAACTTAGTTTAGAGTTTTGATAGTATTAGTGGATATAAAAAGCATATGATATATTCCTAGTTGATGAAATGGATCCAAGAAACAGATGCTTTAAGAGGATTTGATCTTTCAGATAGACTTTCTTAGGAACTTTTTGCCGATTTAGATCCTCATAAGAAGGGTTTTTTGACTTTTAGTGATTGGTAGAGTACTTTTGGAGGATATAATTGGAATTTTTAGATGTAAGAAGAATTAAGGGAATATATTAAGACTAATTTTGAGAGTAGTGAGAAGGCTTATGAGTTTTTTTTGTAAGGCAAAAAATAGCTTTTCTATTCCAATTTCGTATAAGCAGTAAATTATATAATGCCTAAAAGATTCGTAGAATCTGATTTAAAAGATATGTGGAATATCCTTTTAAAACAAGAAGAAATTTAATAAAATGTTTCTTTTGAAACTTTTCATAAAGTCTTTACTTTATAAAGGAAATAATTATTTGAAAAATCATCAAAATACAATAGAAGACCATAAACAGTAGGTTTTTTAATGAATAAAACTCAAAAAAATTGTGAAAACGAAATAGAAGAAGACGTGATTTTCGAAGAAAGACTACTCGAAAAAATACGCAGATTATTAAGACCAACGATAAAAAATATATAGGAAACTCTTTAAAAATTAGATATTAATAATACTGGAATTTGTACAAATTTAGAATTTAGAAATATTATAAAAAGTCTTGAACTAGGTTTAAATATGACCGAAATAGATCTTTTATTAAATTTATGTTAAATAGACGGGACAGTTAATATATAGAAAGTAATAGAATTAATAAAACCTTAATAAATGGATAAAAAAATCGTATAAAGATCAACAACAAGATTAAGAAATATTACAAATTAAGTCTATTCATATTTCCTTTCGCCAAAAGATGCTTTTAGAATAGTAAAAATTATATATATATATATATATATATATATATATATATATATATATATATATATATATTTTTTTATTTATATTTATTTAAAATTATATTATATTTTTATATCAATATATTTTTTTTTTTTATTTTAAATTAAATAGTTTGATTAAGATCATTTAGGTTATTTAAATTTTGATTAATTTTAAAATTTTATAAGCAAAGTATCATAATATTCCTAGACTGAAATGCCTCCATTTTCTATTATTAAAGATATGTTTGAATATATTGATAAGAAAAGGGATGGTGTCCTCGATTTGACTGAATGGATGGACGTTTTTAGTAAATTTGAATATGTATCTTAAGCTTCAATATATAATTTTCCTTTATAGTAAGCGAATATTTATAATACTAATATGCGTCCGAATACTTAATAGAATATTATGAAATAAAAGTCAAAAAGATTGGAAGTTAAAGACTCTTAATATAATAAAAGTTTAATTTTAGTCAGGAATAAACATGAAGATTTCTTTGATCAGGTATAAAGATAGCCTTTACCACAACCGATTTAAAATAATAAAGAAAATATAATTCTTGGAGATTGGGAAAAGTCTAAATAATTCGATAAAATACTCATCTCAATAGGTAAAAATAGAAAATTTTTAATGGATATGTTCAGTTCTTTGTACTAAAGAAACATTCCTGTAACTTATGATATTGCGAAATAAATTATTGGGTAAATGTTGTAAAGTAGTGGATAGAAGGTGAAAGAGGAAGGATGGCCGATTTTACTTAAATTTGCAGAAAAAAATGGAATTATTGATTATAGATTTTTACTAGAAGTATATAAAGATAGAATTTAAAAAATTGATGGACACCCAATAAAATTATAAAAAAATTGATATTTATTTTATTATATATACAATATTATGTATATATAAAAATCTTATATATAAGTATACACATATATATATATAAATATATTGATATATACATATATTTATATAAATATATATATTAATATATAATAAAATATATTATTTATATATATAACTTTATATATATAATTTTAATTATATATTTATATATATATATGTATGTATGTATAAATTTTACTTTTTCTTTTTATTTAAAAATAAAATATACTGTTCCAATTTATAAAATACTATTTAATTTAATATAAAAACATTAACATAAAATACTTTTTATTTTATTTTATTTTTATATTTAAATTTATATATTATTTAAATTACATATCTTTTTATAATTATGATGTTTTCTTCATATAATAGTATATTTTTAATCTTCTTCTTGTTAAAAACGTTAGCAAAACAAATATTTTATTATCTCAAACAATTTAGTATATAAATATTTTATAATTCCATTTTATCCAATAAAAAGTAAAAGCAAAATAATCTATATTAAAAACTAAATTATTAATTTTATCAATATTTTACTTAAAAAGTTTAAAAAATGAATATAAAAAATTGATTTTTATGGATTATACAAAAATATAAAGTAATAAAAATGCTTAGCAAATATATAATTGTAAATAACTCTTAATTTTTTTCTTTAATTCTTTTTATAAATTATTAATACCCTCTTAAGATAATTATACTTAAAAATATTATAAAACTACCAATACTAAAACAAAAAGAAAATTGTTAAGGGAAAAATAATTAATGGAATGCTAAAAATATTAAGCAACATCCTATAAAAAAAAATACTATAAAAACTAAGCAATTTTTTACTTTAATATCATTTACATTTTATCCTTAATTTATTTATATATATTAATAAATTATATATAATATATTTTTGTTTAGATTATATTTTAACAATATTTATTATTTTACTATAATTTTTATAATCTTTAAATATTTTAAACATTCTATTTTTATTATTATTCTTTATATTTTGTTTTAAGCTTTTATATTAATTTAAATTTATGGTATCTATATCTTATTATATTAAATCTATTTATTCTTCAAATAAAATATATTAATCCATTTTTTTTTAAAAATAAAAATATAAAAATTAATATTATATTTTTTAAAATCAAATTATATATATTTTTTTTTTTATTATTTTTTTTTGTTTTATAATTAAATATAAATAATATAATTTCAATTGTATAAGCTTTCATAATACTTTCTAAGTTAATTCATAAATCCTAAATATTATATAATTTTTATATATTTATTAATTAAAAAAAAACCTATATTTGGCTAAACTATTTCTCTTTTTGTTCTTATATAATCTAAAGCTTCTAAAACAGTCATTTTTTCATATTTAATTAAATAACTATTTTAATTAATATTTAATATAAAAATATAAATATTTTAAATAACGCTATAACAATTGTCGGAGATCTAGATTTTCCTTAAAAACTATAAAAAAATAAAAAGTTAATCTAAAATAATTTATATAAAAAACCAATGAACTAATATGTTTTTTCCTTAAATTAAAGCATCTCGTATAAATTCATTTGTTTCTTCAAAATATTAAGATATGTTTTAATCTACTTTATCATTTATAGCTATATGCTTATATATGCATATATCTTCAAATGGTTTTTTCATTTGATCTACAAGATTTAAAATATACTTTATATTCAAATTTACTATTGTTTCTCTGATTAAAGCACATCCAACACTACCTAAATATAAGTTTTATAATATTAAAGCAGGTTGATTGTCAGTTATTTACATTTTGCAAGCCACTAAAGACCTAAGTTAAAATTTTAATTTTTATTTTGTATTTTAATCTTTTTTCTTTTAATTTTCAAAAAAAATCAAAAAGTTAATAATATTTTATTTTTTTAAAAAAACTTCTTCAATATATTCTTAATTATTATCATTACTCGCCATTTAATATTAACCTTTTAAAGTTTATTAGAAAATTATTTGTTATTTGAAATTAATATAATAAAGAATATAATTAGTATATAATTTATATATATATATATATATAATATATATATATATATATATATATAATTTATATTTATTTATATATATATAAATTTTTATAAAACACTAAATTTTTTTAAAAATATATAATAAAAATTGTAATATGTATTTATTATAATTGAATAATATAAAAATTTCATTTTTTTTTATCCAAACAATGTTCACTTATCATGGTGCTTATGTTTTTATTTTATTATATAAATTCTTCATCAAAAACTTTAATTTAATCATTTTATTTAAAAAATTAACTTTAATTAATATTATTCAAATTATTATTTAGTATAGGTAAAAATCCAGAAGATTCATGATTAAAATTAATTTACAAACTTTAGTTATCACCACTCAAAGAAAAATTGCTTTTTAATTTTTAACTTTAGAATAAATCTTAAAAATCATTTTTTTTATGTAAAGATTAATTAAATAAACCATTTTTAAAAATATCAGAATATAATTATTATTAAATTTATTAAAGTTATTATTATTGTTATTATTAATAAGATTACTATTATTAATGTTATTATTTTTATTATTAATATTATTATTATTATTATTATTATTATTAATATTATTATTATAATTATTAATTATCATATTGTTACATATATAAAAATTATTTTATATTTTCTAATTTTTATTAATATATATTTTCATAATCTTAATTTTTTGTATTTATTTATAAATTTTTTTTTAAATTTTTATTATTATTTTCTTTGCTTTATTCCTTTTTTATTTCTTTAGATGATTTTTCTTTGACAAATTTTCTCAGTATTCCTATTTTTTCATTTTTATATTTTTCGAAATCAAAATCATATAACTTTGCTTTTTTTATTTATAAAAAATAATCGTCTAATGTTTTTCTAGAAATGCCAACTACACTCGCAGCTGCATCTAAATTATATTTAATTTTAATTCCTTTTTTATTAATCTATCCATCATCATGTAAATTTCTCCATTAATCAACTTTTTCTACAGCTTCTCTTATTAATCTTTCTTTAGTTCTACTACTTTAATTTTGTTTTTATTTTTTATTGTTAATTTGGCATAATACTTATATGTTGGGTATATTTATTAGTTTTATTTTATTTTTTTCCTTATATATTAAATTTTTGACTTAATTTTTATTTTCAACTTAATTTTCACAATATTAAATTGTATCATCTTTATTATTTTCAACTGAATTTATTATACTCATTTACTACTACTATTAATAATTATATTCCTGTGTATATTTTATTTTAATTATCTAATTTTTTATATAGTCTTTTAAAGAAAGTAACTTTTTTTCTTAAAAAGGGTACTTTCCTTAATAATAATATATGTTATCTTTTTTTTCAATATATACATGGCTATTTTATATTTTAAAGTTTTTTTCACGTATTTTATTTAAAAATTCATTTAAATCAAAATTATCTTCTTTTAGTTTTTAGATTTTTAAATTTTCAAATGCATATTTTATACCGTTTACTTCGTTGTCCAAAATCAATTAGATGTTCATAATATAATTTTCGTTTTACTGAATATTTGTATAACATTTATTTTTTATATTTTGACTAAATTCATTATTTTTAAAATTTTATTAATAGTTTATCATTTATTTTAAAATAGTCTATATATATATTATCTTAGTTACAATATTATTTAATTTATATAATATATTTTTATTATTTTTTTTTTTTTTATTTTTTTATTTTAGATATAATTTTATATTTACTACAACTATAAAAGAAAGATAATAAACAATCGAAAATATAAAATTAATATTAAATATAAGGTACTAAATTTAATTTTAAAATTCAATTATTAAAAAAATAATTACATTATTATAATAATAAAATAATTTTTGGATTAAGATATTATAATTATTTATTTTTAAAAAGAATAGAAAATAATTTATTTATATAAAATAATTAAATATATTATAAATATATGATATATGATTTATGATATATGATATATGATATATGATATATGATATATGATATATGATATATGATATATGATATATGATATATGATATATGATATATGATATATGATATATGATATATGATATATGATATATGATATATGATATATGATATATGATATATGATATATTATATATGATATATGATATATTATATATGATATATGATATATAAATAGATATAGATATATGTATATATATTTTTATTTTTTATTTACCTGTAATTAAAAATAATTAATTATATTATTTTATAATTTAAAATTACATATAATATTTTATCTAATTTAAAATTTTATCAAAATTAAAAGCTAAATTTTTAACCATCTTAATGAAGGAAATATAGTTTTCTTTAATTTTAAACTAAATATTTAAATAATAAAAAAATATAAAAAATATATATAATACATGTTTTGATAAAAAACTATTGAATAGACTATTTAGAAATTTATATTTTACTAAACATAATTTTTTCATTTTTCAACTATTTAGATTTGCATTCGAAAATATCAAAATAATATAAAAAACCCATAATTTGTACTTAAATACTTATAAAAATATATTTTAAAAAAAGTTAAATATAATAAATATTATTACTATATAACTTGTAAGATTAGATAAAAAGCAAATATCTGTTATTTTTTCATTTTTAAATAATATTTAATTTAAATCTTATTCTAAATATTTATTTCCATTTAATCTTTTTAGTATAAAATATGTATATTAGCAATTTTTCTTTATTAAAAATATTAATTACGTAAATAAATATAGTTTTTTGATTGAAGTAATAATTAAAATAAATCCTTATTAATGAATATCTAAAAACTAAGGAATTTCTTAATCTTATAAATCTCCAAGTGTAAATGAACTTAAAAATGTAAAACTATTTAATTAATTTATAATTCCAATTCCTTTTTTTTTTTTTATTATTATTAAAAAAAATCTATTTTTTTTACCATCACAATCTACAGAAACATATATAGAAAGAATTTTATCAGCCTTAATTAATTAAATTTCATTATGATGACCATAAATCATTTTTATTTATTGAATTTCTAAATCATATTCTGGATTTAAATAGTTCTTTTTTAATTTTCCTTCATAAATTGATATTCTAAAATCTTTAGATCCACAAATTATATATTTATCACATATTTCAATACAAGTAACTTTTTTTATTTAATAAATATAAATAATATTTTAAATATTTATTTTTTTTTAAAAAAAAAAAAAACCTGTTTTTTTATGTAATGTATTGTAGGATTTTTCATATTTTTCATCTTTTATTTTTTTTATCAGAATTGATTTATCCCCATGACAAATAGATAATATAAACGATTCATAAATTTTAATTAAATTTTTGGAATTAATATATGAAGACTTAAAAATTTATACATAATATATATGCATATAAAATATTTTTTTTGATACTTTAGGAATAACATTAAAATATTATTTTCTATCTAAATCATTTTATTTAATATTATTTTCATATTTATGAATAAACAAATTATATTTATTATTTTCTTATTGAATTAAAAAGAAATCTATTTTAATATTAATTATATAATAAAAAAATATATAAAAATTAATTTTAACATTTTTAATCATAAACAATGAAATCTATTCTTTATAAAATAAAAAAATTCTAAATTTTTTAAATATCAATATTATATTCATTAATCTAAGGCATATCGAAATTTTATAAATCTCTTCCTTAACATTCATTATCGAAAAGTCTATAAGGGATTTATCCAAAATATAATACTTTTGATTTTTCAGCAATTTTTTATTATTCATTTAAATCTTTTAAATTAAAATTTTCAGAATAAGATGAAGGATGAAATAAATTCTGATTTTTTGTTGTTTTTTTTTTTTTTAATAAATAAAAAGAAAAAAACAAAACAAAATAACTAACCTCATATTATAAAGCGTTATTTCCAAAAGATTTAAATCCGAATATTAAATCTACCCATAAATGTAAATTTTATGAAACATATTAAGATTCTAAAGCTTATCTCATTCTAAAAACAAATTCCTTATGATATATATATATTTATATTAATAAATAAAAAAAATATTACTTCAGGACTATTTGTAGACTTTTAAATCCATTAAGGCAATATAACTTTATCAACATCAGTATTATCTTATTTTTTTCCTAAATACAATTGATTACTTAAAAATAACAAAAAATTAAAGAAGAGAAAAAATAATATATTTATTTTACACATTATATAAAAAATCAGGTAGATAATAAAATTCAGGAAGTAATTCTTTAACATCAGCAGTATTATTTAATCCTGATTTCCATTATTCTTTAACAGAGTGAAATAATCTATCCGCATAATCAAACTAAAATAAAAGAAAATAAATATATATTATATAAAAAATTAACTTTATTTTCTTATTATTAAAAATGAAGGCCAGCGAAAGGTTCCATTCTCATTAAAAATGTAAGAACTATCGTTGCATTTGAATAATGTGTGCCGTACTTTTGAATAAAAATAGTAAAAATGTATAAATGTAAATTAAAATTAATATTAAAATAAATATATATATATAAAAATAAAATATATATATATATATATATATATATATACATATATTTAATTATATATTAATATATATAAATATTGATCATATAATTATTATATATATGTAATTTTATTTAATAATTATATATAAATATATATATATATATTTTTAATACTTATATAATTATTACCATAAAATATGTATTTTTATCATCTGGATCAGATCCTTTAAATCTTTACATATAATTTTTTTCAAATCTTTCTCTATTTAATGCACCAATAGGTGTTCCTAATTATCTATAATTTCTATTATCATCTAAATTTAATACAGACTTAATTTATTATTTTAAATAAAATATTGTTTATTTTTTTATATATATTACAGATTCATAATCTTATAATACCCAAGGAAATATAGGATATTAGCTTAAATCATTAGTAGATCTACCACTATAACTATTTAATTGCATTAAAAATTCAAAATTAGTAATTTTTCCTTTTCTCCAATCATCTAAAACTGTACTTTTTAAAAATTCTTTTTTTCTATTAACTATTATATTTATATCATTTTTAACCTTTGAAAATAATATATTATAAATTTAATATTATTCTTTTTTACTATTCTTAAATTTTCAAATATGTCATTTCTATTTTTTTTCTCATAAGCATTAAAAAAATAAACTTTATTATAATTTGTGAATATTTCAAAAGCTATTTCCTAAAATAAATATCTTCTGGACATTATTAACTTTATTTTATTAATATTTATTATCTTTTTTTTGTTTTCTTAAATAAATTATTATCTTAAACTTCCAAATTCGTGTTATGTTGTTGGTTCTTTACTACTTTGAAATTTTATAATAGTTGTTTATTGATTTGTTTGTTCTTTTATAATTACGAATAAATATTAAGATATATACATTTTTTATTTTTATAATTATTATACATATCATTAATATTCCACAAATAACTCCTGTTTATGTTATATACTCAACTTCGTATTATATACATCTTATTTTAGAATCTTGAATAAAGTTTAATTTTTTAATTTCCTATTTTTGTTTTTTATAAAATAATATAAATTTATCCATATATATTTTATATACACTTAATTATTTTTAAATATCTATTTTTTATTTTTATTCTTATAATTTTTCAATAGAATCATTCTTGTTTTATTTTTATATAATAAAATTTATGATTTAAATATATTTTACTTTTTTAATTATATCTAATTATAATTCTGGATGATCTTTTAGATTTTTTTTATATTTCGGATTAGTAAAAAATAATTTATCATGCCATTTTTTATCTCTTTTTAAAAAAAACTTTCTTCTTAAATTATCCTCAATCTAGAAATAAGAATATAAAAAACATAAAATAAAAAAATATATTACTTTATTAATTTTCCAATTCTTTTATTCTTTTTAATTTTAATTAAACCATATTCCTCTTTCAATAATTAATTATTTCCCTTTAAAAATTATAATAAAAATATATAAAATAATTTAATATATAATTATATTTAATTGTATAAATAATATATTTTTTATTAATATTTATTCATATATATACAAAAATATATTTATTTATAATATATAATATACATTTTTATTTTTTTATAAATATATTTAATTTAAGTGTAAATACTTTTTTATTTCCATATTTTTATAGCTTTATTATAAAGTTAATACTCTTATTATTCTTAGATTTCAAAAGTTGACTAACATTTAAATTTATATTTATTTATATAATGATTATAGTTTAATTAGTCTTAATTTTGTTAAGAATCAAAAAACAAGTTTATTTTTTATTATTTAGCTTCCATATACATATTTTATTGATACAAATATTAAAATAAACCTATATTTTGTACAAACTTTATATATTAACCTACATAGCAATTAATACATTAGAGAACAAACTATTAAAAGAAATTTTTATTTTCATTTAAAAAAATTATTATTTCTTCCGTTTATTTCAAACTAGTTAATTCCAAAAGCTTTTAGCTTAATAAATCAATATTATATTATTCATTTATTTTTATTTCTCTTTTAAATTTTAAATTTTCCAAAAAATATTCCAAATTGGTATAAATATTTTAATTTTTTTCATAAAAAAAGTCATTTACTTCATAATAATTTATTATATTTTACCATTAAATGACTATTTATTTATTTAAAATTTAAGAAATTTCATTAACTATATTTGTTTGGATTTCTAAATTAATTTCATTGTTATAAAATTCTTAAATTAAAAAATAAAAAAAATAATCTAAACTAAATTCTTATAATAAATCTATCTATTCGTTATTCTCATATTATATTAAAGGTTAATATTATATATTATTATTTACTACAGTTTATTCTTAATTTAATTGAGATTTTTAAAATGTAATTTCTAAAAGAACGATTAAACAACTTATTTTAATAAAAAAAAAAAAACATTTATAATTAAATGCATATAAATAAAATACCTTTTTTTTACATCATTATTTGTAGAAAACTTAAATAGTTACATTAAAATAGATATTATACTTCTATATATACCTCCATTAACTTTATTTACTATATTATTATTAGTAATTTGTTATAAGTATTTTTAAAGGCTTTCTAATTAATAATTTTACATATTACATTTATAAATTTCAGGCTTCGAACATAATTATAAATAAGTTAAATTTTTTAATTCGAAAAATTCTTAGAAAAAAATAAATAATATTATATTTGTTTAAATTTATAATTATATATTTTTTTACTTACGGAAATATAACTAAATAATTTTATTTATCATAAATTAATTAGATTCTATTAATAAAGGATTATTAATAATTAGGTTTTCTATATAAAATATGAAATTAATTAAATTATTTTAATTTAATTCATTTAAAATAATAACATTTTAATTAATTTATATTAAAAGTAATTATAAATTATTAATAATTTAAGAAAAATATTAAGTAATTTTATTCGAAATCAAAAATTATAACTAAATTAAATTAAATTAAAATAAAATAAAATTAAATAAATACCATTTAAATTCCTTAATTTTATTTTAATATAAGAAAAATAATTAAAGTATCTAAAATATCTTATTTATATTTTTAAAGAATTAAATTTTATTATTTATCTTAAGATTCTAAATCAAAAATAAACTGAATAGAGAAACAAAGTTTATTACATTTTTCAAATTTATTTAATATAAATAACTATACTTTATTATAAAAATTATTAAAAAATATAATTTTATTACTTCATTATTGATATCTTTAATATTTAATTTAAAGAATATTTTCTTAATATCATAAACAATTAATATTTATTATTAAATTGATTAAATATTTTATATTCTTTTTAATAATAAATACGCAATTTACTATTCTATTCCATAATTTTCTGCTAAAGATTTATTTAAATATTCTATAAGAATAGCATTCGTCTCATTTTCAATATTTTCAGGTAAGATATCATCTAAACTTACACATTTTTATTAAAGAGTTTCATGTTTATATACTTTAATAAATAATTAAAATAAAATTTGTATTAAAAAAGATATATATTCATCGCTTAATTTATTAATTTTATTAAAAATAATCAAAGATTTTAAAGTCTCTTCTAAATTTTCAACCTAACCTAAAATTTCTTTATCGAAATCTTACAAAAAGACAAAAAGTAAAATTCTTAAAAAATCCATTTAAAGTTATTCTTCTGCAAAGCAAATATTTTAAATTAATAAGTCTAAAAGGAAGCTGACTTCACTTTAATTTTAATCTAATAAAAAAATGATATACATTATAATATATATTATATATAGTAACTTAAAGATTCACTATATATATATTTAATAATTTTTAAATATAGTTATTTTATGTCATTTATTTCATCATTTTTTATAATCTTGAAATTATTTTAAATTCCTTAAAGTAAAATTACTATTCCTTTTTAATTTACAATTTATTAAATCAAATTTTTCTATTATTAAAGTAATCCTAATATATAATAAAGTAGTCTTTTTTATATTATAAATTCACAGCCATACCATATAGAAAAACTCATAAAAAATTCTTAAAGAAAAGTATATCTTATCTAATAAAGTAAATCTTAATTCAAATCTACCCATTCATTATTTTATAAATCATTATCATTATAAGGAAATGATAATTCCATAAAACTAATTAAACTTTCCAATAATTCTAAACTACATCCCTTTTATGATTATTATATAAAATATATTAATTATATATATATATATTTTATTAAACATTGTTTTCTTTTATAATAGCTTTTATTATTATTTTCAATATCTAAATACCCTTGGAACCGTTTTAATACTAATCAAAAAACATAATAATTTCATGATCTTATTATACAAAAGTACTTATTAATTATAAAGAAAAAGAAGCTAAATATAATTTTTAATTTTTATTAAGCATATTATTTTCGACAACTAAATCAAGAATAAATCTAAAAAAAAAGTATATATATAAAAAAAATAATAAGAATATATATATATATATAATTATATATATATATAATATATATATATATATATATATATATATATATATATATATATATAATTAATATATATATTTACTTACATAAATAATAATAAAAAATTTATATATATATTAATATTTTTTTTTACATAAATATTTCTATGTTTCCAATTTATAACAGAACATCAGAAAATCCTGTAAATTCAAAATAATTTACATTATTAAAATTTATAATATATTAAAATTGTGTTTTATTAAAAATATCATCATCTTTCCAAAAATTTTAAACTAAATTTATAATTTGAAATCTTGATTTTTAATAAAATAAGCAAAAAGGATACTCTAAAGTTGCGTTTTCTTCCATATTATTTGCTATTATAGTTTATTCGTTTTTATTTTAAATTGTATTTTTTATATTATTTAAAGTTATTATTATCTTTATTATTTTATAAAAATAATATAATTATATATATATATATAATATTACTTTATCCCTATACTAAGTAAATATTTTTTTGAAATATTAACTAACTTTATTACATGATTCTTATTAAATATTGACTTTTTCTCTAAAAACAATAAATTATCCAATAAATCCGCAATAAAATTATTCTTTTATTTAAATTTAATCATTTTTTGAAACTCCTAAATCTGATCCTAGACATAAACATCTTATTACTCTGAAATTTTCTAATATTTTTGTAAATTTAACATTATCAATTCTTTACATTTACTTATTTATTTATTTATTTTTTTAAAAAAATACTATTATATAAATAAAATTATATATACTTTTTTTTCTTTTCCATCTATTAAAACTTAAAAACAGTAAGAACCTACTTTTATAGAATTGTCATAATTAATTTATAATGTATGCCATTTGTGACATTCTTTTAGATTTTAATATTCAAAGAAAATTTTATAATCATTATTTTAATCATTAATTTAAATACATAAAAGAGCATCAGGATTATTCTTGTATTTATTTTTTAATGAAAAAAAAAAAAAATGAAAAGAAAAATTACATTATGAATATGAATAAAAACATTAATTTTTTAAAGTTTATTTGATATAATA